CACCATGTATAAGCTATCTGAGACGAATGAGAATCCCTCCAAGAATCGACTAAGTTGAATCTTTGTGCAAACAGTCTTATGAATGAGTTAGAGTCTAAACTTCTAAAAGGCCATCTGTCCAAATAGCTGTTAAACACTGTATTAAAGTCTCCACCAAAAATAATAAAAGAATTGGGATATTTCGATAACCAGCGCAGTAGGCGCTCCTCCAACCTATCAAAATATAGTTTATTCTCCCTCTGACAGTTAAAACCATACACATTGACTAAAATATAGATAGAGTGTGCAGCCTCAACTATTAGAAAAATGTAATGACCATCTTTATCTATGTCAGAATTCAAGATTTTACCATTAAATCTTCTTTTAAGTATGCAGACACCAGCAGCATGCTCTGTACCATGGGACATCCACAGATCATCTCCCCATTGCGATCTCCAAAATGTTTTTTCTTGTTCTGTTGAGTGAGACTCTTGTATAAAACAGAAATCTGAATTGAACTGCTTGCAAAACAAAAAAATAGCCTTACGTTTAACATTGTTTCTTAAACCTCTTGCATTTAAGAAATAACAGACAGAGACATAATGATAGTAACAAAAAATTAAAAGTGACAAATAAGAAAAAGCTTAGACCAAGTAAATGAAGAACAGTTGAATTGGGAACCTGGTCACTTAAGAGAGTCCTATATAAGATGAGAACTGCAACCCCTGAGTAAGGAAATTGTGAACTTGAATAATAATAGGAATACAATAGCCTAAAACAATAAAACCAATGTGGTAAAAATAAATAAATAAAATAAATAAACGCTTCACATATGAGCATTGAAAGGGAGCTTAATAGAAATTTTCTTGCTCCATTTAAATAACTAATTATTCAAAAAAAGAATAAAAATTAAAAAAAATAAAAAGAAGCTTATCCAGCTTGCTCATAACATTTTCAGTAAAAATATTGCAGCCAAACTGAAGACCAATAAACTTATAACAAATAAACTGCATCAGTTTAACTCTGATCGTTTTATGAGTCCAACAACAAAAACAAACAAACAAAAAAAGAACGGCAGTGAAACCAAGTTAATCTTAAGATACTTCAGTTTTCACCTCAAAATGCCTTGGATCAAATTATAGGGCTGGAAAAATCTCTTTTCCCTCCACGAACGCACGACCTCCTACGAAGAACGCCAGCTTGTTTTCGTTGCGCGCAGCTTCCACAGACGACCAGAGTCTGTTTCTTCGGGCGCGGTCGTCAGGGGACAGATCCTCAGCCAGCTTTAGGTTGTTACGTTTCAGGTAGGTGGACTTCTTAGCAGCGCGCCAGACAGCATCGCGGTAGATCCTGGATGTAAACTGAATGATGATTCCCCTGGGTTGGTTGTTGTTGGACCTCTTGGGACCGATGCGGTGGACGGTGTCAACGACGTCGGGGGATTTATCTTGCATCTCCGGTATGACTGATCTACAGACTTTGATTACCTCCTGCCGCACGTCCTGCTTGTCCCTCTCGGTCAGACCGTAGAGCTTCAGATTCCAACGCCGTGAATAGCTCTCCAGGTGAGAGATGCGCTTTTCCTGTGCTTCAGCGATTGCTTTATATTTTTCGAGCTGTGCCTCAACACTGACAACTCTGCTCTTCATATCATTTAACTCAGCACAGACAGCATCAAATGACTCCTTAACAGCTGTGATATGTTCAGTGTTCTCTTGGACAGCTTTTTTCATCTCGGAGATGGCTATGGAGTTGTCACTCACCATTTTTTCAAGTGTCTGACCTCGAGTTAATCAACATGGTAAGTGATGAGAGCTGGGAGAGAACCGTAGATGTCTCCGTATCCGCAACTTTTCTTAGCTTACCCGCGGGAGAGGCACATGGAGTGATAGGGAGAGGGGGAAACTCTTCTTCCATCCGTGAATACTGAAGCGGTTCGGAAACTGCTCCAAATAGTCGTGCATGGAGTCGATGAGAGTATTTTTAGTGTCGGCGGGCATCTCAGTAGCGAGAGAAGACTGAGCAGCTTGGCTAACATTAGCAAGCTTGCTAACGGAGCCCTGTTAGCATGCAACTTCTTAGATTCGGTCTTTCTCTTCTCGGGTTTGCTCATTTTGGTTCACAAATAGATACCAAAATGAGACGTAAAAGATGACTATTGCGTAGGCGTAAATAAAGTCTCTGTTCACTGTGTGTAATATATATTTTAAAAAAGGCCAGGTTCGCAGAGCTCAGCGATACGTGACTGCTCAGAGCGCCATCTTGGGCTTCCCCCCCCCCCTCGAAGAGTCACGATTGCGTTGACTATCAAAAGTCGACGCGTTGTTTGAAGCTTTGTAAGATCCCAAAAGACGCAGGAATAAGTAGTAGGATTTAAGAGTGTAATAACGGACTGAAACAGAAGAGGGCAGCACTGCATGTACAAGGATGCCAGCTGCCGTTAAACCCCGAAGAAGAAGAAGTAGCTCTGTCCCAGAATTCATAGCGCAGCCCAGCTCAGTTTCCAACAATGGCGGCAGCTAGTTAGTTTTAGTATTACTCTTATTATTCTTTATAGGTCACAAAATAAACGTTTAACATATTTTCAGGCGAGAATGTAGCTGTGTAAACCTCAAATATCTGCTCAGTTTATCAAGACACCACATATTTTCAAAAGCGCTCCGACGTTTTCAGAGACGTCTGTTACCCACTAGCTCGATAGCGAGCCGGGGGCTAGGCTCACTAGAGCCGTGAGAACACCGGACTCCTGGCAAATCGTTTTCAAACCCACCGCAGTCTTTCGCTACTCAGGTTAAACATATATAGGTCACTTAGATAACTTAAAAATGTTATCGTTTGGCTTTTTTTTAGTATTTTATTTGTTCCTGAGTAAATCGGTTTGGCTGAGATTAAAGTTATAGTTTCTGTAAGCAAAGCAAAACTGTTTATGTGAAAAACTGTAAAATATAATTTCAGTGTTCTGTAAAATATAATTTCAGTGTTCTTTTTACATTTCATAAGAGTAAAATCCTTGTAGGAGTAAATGTATCCAAGCTTCTGACAGATGTGACAGATGTTTAACTTATTGTTGTTTACTTGTAGTGTACAATAAATAATCAAAAACACAGGATTATTCTGCAATGCTTCATTACTCATTAATCTTACAAATGTTGAAAGGTAAAAGTGTTCAATAAAATCCTAAATATTGCAAAATGCTGTAAGAACTCTTCTTTCGCTGCTTTAGGACACATCCCATTATATTGACTACTGTACACACACTACTTAAAATTTAAGATACAAAAAATACTGGTTTCTGTGCATGCATCTGCAGTGAAGGTGTGTGTTTTGCCATGCAGCTTTTACTTACTTAGCACTCTTCTTCATTTTGACTACCATGAAGTTAAGCCAAAAAAACAAGAAAAGAAAAACGATTTTTCTGGTATCTGAAGTATAACAGTTCCCTGAACTACCTCTGATAGTGTCCTCATCATCATAACATTCCCTTTATTTATGATTAGTTATCTTTATCTTCAGAGGTCTGGGTGACAGTTTTAGTGTTTGCTTTAAAAAACAAAAAACAACAAAAACTCAAAACAAAAACTTGAAATATATATATTCTATATACATATATAGAGATGCTCACTCCTGATTGGACACTGAGCTGCACCACCTTCTCCTTCACTCCTCCACCTTGCTGTCCTCTGTGCTCTCTCTCCTCCATCTCCAGGGAACAAATCAGAGTCTGAGCACCAAACCTGTGGACTGTTAGTCTGCAGATAAGAAGGAAAACACACAGAATTCTCATGTTTGCCATTTTCATACCGTATTATTATAGTATATTAGTTTACCAGTCCAACAGATTTATGTTCCCAAATGGATCATTTCAGCTTTTGCCACACTGGTCCACTTGATTGTCAAAGTGTATTAGCTCTTTATTATTTCTTTCTTTCTTTACTTGAAATTATTACAATCAGAACGGACAGGACTGGGGATGGGAAAGAGAAAGATGAAGAAAAGAGAAGTTGGGAAGATGCTCAACAGAAGGAGATGGAAAGCAAAAAGATAGGAGAAGAGAGACACAGAGAGAGAAGACACTAAAAATCTGTTTGATCACCTGCTGGAAAAATAAAAACAAGCAAAAAGAGAAAAACACAGTAGTGAAACCACAGCAAAAACCAACATAAGCACAAGTTATAGTAAATGATAAATATCTCCATCTCCCGGAAGGGCCTGATCGAGCCACAGGGGCCATAAACTGACAGTTTATTTATAACTAGAAATAATAAAGCAGTTGACGTGTTTCAGGCTGTGACTTTTAGTATCTGTTGGTACTTCATCACTTTGAATAAGTGTAAGTCAACACCAGGCCGCACTTCAGTCTTTCCATTAAACAAATGACCAACAATCCATTGTTTTCACCATTAAACAATAAAATATGCTTCTTGACTCCTTGATGCAGGTGCCCACCTACGACCTGGTTTATTAATACTAAGCTAAAGAGGAAAGCAACTCACTGTAGTTCTCACAGCTCAGGACAAGCAGACACCTGATGTTGAGTGACTGAATGGAACTAAAACAAGAATTCATAATTATGTTTGTCTGCCATGAACACGTGATGATAAAACTCTGCATATGCAGTCAGGAGACTGATGACCTGTGAAATGAGCTGTTATAAAAGTGCAGATATGTGTAAACATTGATCAGCATTTAACATCCAGGATGGAGCAAAACTTCTGACCTGCATGTATGAGAACCTTTAATCACATCATCTTTGTAGTGAAATAGCTGATGACTCATTAAACGTTTCCATGTAATTTATCCACAGTGAAAAATATTCACTTTGCTGGATCTGAAAATCACATGTTCATTTCATTAGACACTAGCAATACCATTAAACTGGACCTTATCATTATCATAGAGCACTAAATGTGAGACTGTGTCATATAACAATCTATATATGTAATATGTGTTTGCCTGAATCTTCCAGCACAAACAGAAAGACGAGCTGTTGTCTGAGTATCAACACAAGTACACACCAGAAATCGTTCAGTAAAGACAAATTTAATAAATGAAAGCTGGTGAGAGGGCCTTTGATGTTTCTCTTTGGATCATCCTGTTGTTTGTCTCCCAGTGTCGTTACTGCTCCTCTCCTTTCAAAGACAAACACCAAATAACACCAAATGAGAGTGAATCACTTCAGAAACACTCCTGGTTATTGTGAGCAAACGTCATAACATGATGAATGTATTTACCATTTTACTGAGGGAAAATCTTCTGTGTGGAGTTTCTTCTCATCTTGGCTCTTTTTCCTGACTTTTAGAAACAAGAGGCAGAAAAGAAAGAATAAAAGTTAAAACCTCAACAAGTTTTTTAATGTTTGGGATATTTTAGAAACAACCTTAAACACTATTTACTACTTACCACTTTGTTCATTCTTGCTGACGTTCACTCTCCTCATCTTCTCTCTAAAGGACAAATGACAGAAAAGAGGGAATCATTTTAGTAACTTTATCAACCAGGTGAGCAGAATTTTAGATATTTATCAATATTCTGATTAAAAGCAGAGTGAATACTTATCTTTTTACGAGAAAGGGTTCAATCCGTCCTGTCTTAGGTCTTAATGTCACCTTGGCTCCTCTGTTTTCTCTGAAAAACAAAAGACAAATGGGAAGAAAAAAATTAGTAAATGATTTCAGCAACTAGAGGAAGTGTTCACTGAGGAGGAGCTGTCATAATAATATAAAATCAATATATACTTATCTTTTTTTTAATGACAGTTTACAGAGCACGCTGGCTTCGCTCCTCCCTCCGCTCCTCTCTGAAAGTTAACTGGATAAAGGATAATAACAATTAATAACATCATCAAAACAGACAAACCTGAAAGAATTGCTGATCAGAGCTGTGACAGAGTCACAGATTAGTTGGATGTATACTTATCTTTCACAATGAGAGCGTTTGCATAGACGTCTCTTCAGGTCTTTTTATTGTTTTCTCTCTGGAGAGGAAAGTGATGAGACTGATGAGGAAATACCAAATACAAAGACTGACAAAGGGAACTGAAAAAGTCTAACCAAAACCTATACTGGGGGAAAACTGTAGGAAACAGAACTACTGAGGCAAGGAAACACGAGGGGACGGAGACTAACACTCTGACAAGGGACAAAGGGAGACTGACACAATATTTACACACAGGAGGCTGATTATGGGAACTAAGGACACATAGAAACACAGCTGAACCGAATAAGAAATGAACAACAAGTCGAAACAAACTCTAATGACAGTTCAACCAGTTTCTAAACACAACAAATAACTTTCAGGATGTTTCAACAATGTGTAAAATGAGTTCTTATCTTTTTTTGTGAGAGGGCCTTCAATGTTTCTCTTTGGATCATCCTTCCATCCATTTCTTCTGCTTAACCATTGGAGCCATCCCAGCTGTTATGGGGCCAGAGGCGGGGGTATAACCTGGACAGGTCAGTCTAACACAGAGAAACAGACAACCATTCACACTCACATTCAACCTAACTGCATCTCTCTGGACTGTGGGATGAAGCTGGAGTACCTGGAGGGAACCACAAAGGCGCCAGGACTGTCTTGCTCTCAGATGACGCCCGTTCACGCTGCTCTGAAGACCTCAGTTGTCTTTGGATCAAATAACACCAAATGAGAGTGAATCACTTCAGAAACACTCCTGGTTATTGTGAGCAAACGTCATAACAAGATGAAAATATTCACCATTTTACTGAGGGAAAATCTTCTGCGTGGTGTTTCTTCGCAGCGTGACTCTTTTGCCTGACTTTTAGAAACAAGAGGCAGAAAAGAAAGAATAAAAGTTAAAACCTCGACGATTTTCAAATATTTTAGGACATTCTTTTAGAAACAACCTTAAGCACTATTTACTACTTACCACTTTGTTCAGGCTTGCTGACGTTCGACATGCTTCACTGTATATTATAATCTCAAGCGCTTCCTTGCTTGAGTCGGGCTCCGGATGCTGCTCTCTTCCTCCGCCTTCCTCTTAGCACGCTCTGCCGACATATTTAGAAAACGGCAGAGCACCGAAGTGAGAACTCTGCCGTCCGCGCTGTAGTCTGTTACTCTCCAGCGGTTCTTCATCTCAGTGTCCTCTGTTTGGTAAACAGTGGAGATGACTCTGGTGACGGGGAGGCCGTCGACAGTCAGGGTGCGGACACAGTTCCTCCGATCTGCCTTCAGCACAGCAAGATCTGCTTTCTCTGGAAGAACTGGAGTCAGGAAGCGTGGATGAGAGCTGGAGCCCGCAGGCGGCAGCATCATGCCAGCTGGTGAGTCCGTAGGAGGAGAAGGAGTGGTGTTCTCTCTCTGGCTCTGCCTCACATTGACAAATGGTGTCGTCACCAGGTCCCGGTGGAACCATCCTTTAAAAGGTATGCAAGGAAAGTCCTTGGACCCAGTCACCAGGCTATGGTAAAGAGTGAGGACCAGGTGAGTCATGGAGTTCAGATGCCTCCTGCTCAGTTCACGGTTCCTCAAGTTAGTGACGACCATCTGAGGTGCAGTGACTGGACTCACCAGATCAGCTACGAGAAAGCAAAGCGTGCGTCTACGTTAATCATGTGATCACACAAATTAAAGCCTGGATTTAAATTGTCCAGACATGGCTTTACATCATCATAAGCTCTTCCACACACAAACAGTAAGAAGCTCCCAGCAGAACTCATTGTTTATGAAAGCCTTCACATTTTTCACCTGGTAAAAGTTTCCATGTGTGTAAGGCTGCGTGGATTTTCACTGAGGTTTTAATACGCATTCACATTAAGGAGTAATATCTTCATATTAGTTGAGCATCGATATTTTGAGGATAAAGCAGCTACATTTAGGTGAGAAACCTCCCACCTCCTTATTGCAGGCACACACTGTTTCAATCTCAAACTCATCCTGCGACTCTGTGAACTTTTAAAACTCCAGCTTCTCCAGCTTTACACATTCACAATCTATGAAACGTTCACGTATAACTCAGCGCCAGCGGCCCAAACATGTCAACTCAAACCCTCTACATGCAAAAACGGCCGCGCGCTGACGTCAGCGTCCTCCAACGCCTTAAGTCGTTAGCAATTTAAAAAAAACATGGCGCCATCTTTATAGTGTACTGGCACATGTTAAAATTGATGTTACTCAAGTATGAAACATCTCATCCTAAATGTTAACACTCATGAAGTCCTACTTCCAAACAATAAAAGACAAAAATCGAAGTTGTATTTGTTTGCTAGCACTCTGACATATTAGCCTGCTGTACTCACCATAGCGTTGATCTAACACCTCCTCAATGAAAAGGGAGAGCAGGTGCATCTCGCGACTCAAGTTTGAAGAAGTCATTTTGCAAATCCTTCTTGAAGATTTTCAAACGTTAGCTGTAGCTTGAAAAATCCGAGTTTTCACAGCACTAGTGGGAAAAAGCTCCTGTTTGCGCTCAAACGTGAAACCCGAATTCCACTTTTGCCTCCTGCTTTTATACCTGCACTCAAACACGTCATCATCACCATGACACCCAGGGTCACCGAAAATCAATTTTATTTATTTAAAATAAAGTTCGTCTAATTATCATAGTTTTTAAAATATATATATATTTCTCATTTTATTTTACTGCTTTATTCATCCTTTTTAAAAAATATATTGCTAAACTTTGTCGTTTTAATTCTTTAAAAAATCATTAATTCACCAGTTTACAAAAATGAAGATCGATATCTGAAATTTAAATTAATAAATAAATAATTACAATTGATAATGGGTTTTTAGCATTAAAGAATGGTTTTTCAGTGCGCTTTAAATGTTATCAGAGCCGATGTTGTGCCAAAAAGTGATCGCAGTCCAAAAAGTGATTTACGGTATTGAAACGTTTGTTTGTGTCATGACATTTGTAAACAGTTGATGTTTAAGGTGCAGTTCATGTGGAAGCCAGAGGAGGGTGGTGTTGTGCGCATAATACAAAGTGATGGCGAAACCTAAAAGACGGTGTCATGTCTGCTCCCTGAAGCAATCTCATAACAGTTTCAATCTATTTCAAGCCAGTTAGCACATTTCTGTTATGAAGTGCAATCATTTTTTGGCAGTAAACTTAAATCCTTTTATTATGAATATCACATTCTCAGATTTTCAAGAGAGACCAGACCAATAGGACAGCAGAAATCACAAAAATATATAAATAACAGTTTTATAAAGATTAAAACAGTAAAAAAAAAAAAAAGACTGGAATGATTATGATGTATAACACAGAATATGTACAATAACAGAGTTATAAACACACCTAGAACACACGTGATACTTTTATTTCATCTATAACCTCTGTGCAAATTTTGTTGACTGCAAAGTGTTTATGAATATGTTTTTAAAAGCTGGTTATCTGACTGTCAGTTAATAGCAATTAAAAAGAAAGCTGATTTTTATTTAAAAAACCCTGAAAACATCACACATGTACAAACAACACACAATTATTGTAGATTCTTCAAAGCCTCCTTATATTCAACACTTGGGTAGGTGGTGTTATACATGCCCTCACAGCACCGGCACATCCATCCTCCTGTTTTCACCTTGTCACCTTCATTAAGCTGCTCTCTTACTACAGAAGGCCCACCGCATGCATGGGGGGAGAGGGGGGTAGAGAGGGGGGGGATACCGTGGGCCAGGGCTGTGGCATCTAATGTCTGGTTGTCAGTGTCCTTTGGAAAAGCAAGTGATTGTCCTCAAATCAGATGTCCCAGCAGATTGATCTAGTTTGCCATGCCGGCAAAAGACCAATACACCAAGACAAACAGCCATTTATGCTTTTTACACAGACAGCCCATTTTTTTTCTATTTAACTAGAAGAATTGTTGTACCACACATTAAAGTTTCAAATCAGTGAAAAAGCAATCGTGCCAAAGAAATGTCATGTGTTTGTTTAAGATGACTGCAATTATGGTATTAACAGAAAACACACATCTCTGTCTCTTTTCTTTTCTGTTTAGTGTTTCACTTACCTTCTAAACTCAACAAGTACTTGCACAATCCTGAGGTTTTTAGAAAAGAACATCTCAGATTAAATAAGGAGGAGATACAGACGTTAAAACTAACCTTTATTACTATGATACAAAACAATATTAATGAAGTTGTTAAAAGTGGTACTTCTTACACACACACACACACACACACACACACACACACACACACACACACACACACACACACACACACACACACACACACACACACCCACACACACACACACACACACACACTCAGCTCATTACAAGTGTTTAAAAGTTTGAGTTGTCTGAAAAACTAAAGAAAGAAAAACACAAAAATGTTACAATACAAAAGTTGGAACTTTATTAACACACAGAAATACAAACTGATGGGTTGATAAATATCAAGAAGACAGTACATTTCACATAAAGACTGTGCATCATTTTAAGATGAAAAAATGCAATATGGGGTCAGCCAGAGGATTAATAATCAAAACTAAGGGATTCTGATATTAATACTGCACTGCCTCCAATCTCACTATAAGTTACATCTGTTGAACTGACTTCTTGCTAGCATTTCCAATGAAGTCAAGATGAAAAATAAAATAAAACCTAAAAACAGAGTGTAGTGGCAATTCCTTTACTTTTGTATGATCAAACGTCCCACAACTTAAAGTCCACAAGCCACTGCTGCACTGAGGTAATATTTCGTACGCAGGCAAAAGAAGTCCATTGTCCAAACCTTTTAGTTGAGAGTTTTGGTTTTGGTTTATTTATCCATTTGGCAAGCAATAACAAAATCCTTCCTGCTGCTTCTCCTGCTCTGGTAAAAAAAAAAACATAGGCCCACCCCAATGCATGCTGGTCCTATACCAGTCTCTTTATTTATAGAAACAAAATGGCCCTACAGCTCTTACTGACTAATTTAACAAAATAACAACAAACAAAACAAATCATTTAAAACAAAATATTAACCGACAAATAAACCCCAAAATATAAGTAAACTAACAACAAACTTTAACTAATTTCAAAAATAAGAACAAAAACAAAAATAAAGAACAAATAGCTCCAACACTCCGGCCCCTAATTGTGCATACAATCACAATTACTTTAAAGTCCCAAAAGGAGGAGCTATTCCCTTAAACAAATCCTTAATTTTCATTGAGGATTTTCTTCACGATGAGGCTTCCAGTAGCAAAATAAGTTTTGTCACTGGCCTTTCCAAAACACTGGTTCTTGTTTGTAGTCTCACAGAACGCACCAAGCCTTTTGCATCCTGGTTTACATTTAAGACTTTCGCCATCATCCATGATCCTCTTGGAGCTGTAGCGTCTGCAATTAAAACAACATCTCCAGGTATAAGACATCTTTTAGTCCTCATCCATTTTTGTCTTTCTTGCATCAAAGGTAGGTACTCAGAAAGCCATCTCTTCCAGAACAACTCTGCCATGTACTGTACCTGTTTCCACCTTTTCCTGACATGCAAATCACTTGGATGAAACAGTCCTGGTGGAAAAACTGGTTTATTTTTCAGCAACAACAAGTGATTGGGTGTCAGTGCTTCAAGATCATTTGAGTCATCTGAAACTTTAGTAATGGGTCTGTCGTTCATTATAGCTTCAACCTCACAGAAGACTGTGTGGAGTCCTTCATC